TAGACAGTATTGTATACATCAGGAAACAACTGAGGGCCTGTTGTGGCAGCACATACCTGTAATCCTAGCACTCCTGCCTGAGGCAGGAGAATCACTTCAGTTTCAAGGCTAGCCTGGGCTATGTAGTGAATTTAAGGCCAACCTGAGCTACAAACAACAAACAAAAAACAAAGTCTCAAAAAACAAAGAAAAACTGAGTAATGATGTTAAAGCATTCTCCAAATCCAAAGATTCAATGTACCTTTATGTGAAGACTTTCATTGTAATATATTTATCCTTATTGTCTTCATTATTTACTTAGAATTAGTAAATTTAAATGGAATGAGGTTTTATCTAGGAAAATTCCTTATGAGAAAATTATTACCATTGAAAGTTATATAACATTAGGTTGGATTTTAGATAAGATAATTAGTATTGTCTTTCTTTTTTTTGTTTGGTTTATTTCTTTATCTTTCTTTTTTGGATGATAAGTTAAGTCTTGCTTAAAGGAGAAGAGAAATACCTTTTGTTCTTTGTTTTTGTGGCACTGGAGATTGAACCCAAGACCTTTGTACTGAGCTATATCCCCAGAAGTTGTTTATTTTTTATTTTGAGACAAGGTCTTGCGAAGTTGTTAAATTTCCCAGGCTGAATTTGAACTTTTGATTCTCTTCCCTCAGTCTTTTAGAGAGCTAGGATGGGATTATAGGCATTCAGAGAGAAAGCTTTTGTTTTTTAATCATTAATTTATCATTAATTTTTAAAAATTTTCCTTTTTTCTTTGTTTGTTTGTTTTTTGAGGTGGGGTCTTCACTGATTTGAACTCACTATGTAACCCAGGCTGGTGTGTTTGCACTCTTGGTGATCTTCCTGCCTTGGCCTCCCAAGTGCTAAGATTACACGCTTGCGCCACCACACTTGGCCAGTCATTGGTATTTCTGTGAGTGCAGGAAGATTGTTATTGGCTCATTAAATTGATTGTAACTCTCTTATTTCAGATTAAGAGTATTGATTAAAGGAAAAATAAGGAAACAAAAATATAAATTAAAAAAATTGAATTTTTTTTCTCCATTTTCAGATACATGGTACATTTGCTACAGTTGGCTGTGACTTTCATTGAGAAATTGGAAAGCCATCTTGAAACAATTAGAAATATCCCTCATTTAGATGAAAGTATAAAGAAAATGGTGAGTAGTAATATAGCTATATTTCATCTCTTACACTAGAATCTCAGAATGTGTGACTGTCTTAGTTACTTTTCTTGTTGCTGAGACAAAATACTCAACACTCACAAGTTAAAGAAGGAAAAGTTTATTTCATCTGACAGTTTGTAGAGGTTTCAGTTCATAGCAGCTGGCTCCAATGCAGAATGGCATGGCAGAGGGGCATCACAAAGAAGAAATAGTCTATAGCAAGCAGGCAGGAGACAGAGAGGCAGCTAGTAATAGCAGCAGCAGCCTACCTCTGCCTTTTATCCCTTCCAGGCTACCCACCTTTTGGGTGCTGCTGCCACACCCAGGGTGGGCCTTCTTATTATCCACACCCAGAACTATGCTAAACCAATCAGTGAACTAATTTAGTAATCACACACCCTTAATCCCATATTATACTCTCAATACTAGCATCACATCCTTAATCCCAGCATCACACACCATAGATCCAGCCACCTTCAAAAAGCCCCACCTATGTCCTTGTGAGACTTTGGAGGGACAGTTAGATACAAGCCATAATAGTGATCCACTCGTTTAACTTTTTAATAACTAAAATTATGAGCTAATTATTTTAAAAATCAGAAGTGTTTTTAGCCAGGCACTTTAGCACATGCCTAAATCCTAGCTGTTCAGGAAGCTAAGAAAATTGAAGGTTTGAGGACAGCCTGGATAACCTGCCTTAGCCTTCTGAGTGCTGAGTGTGTAGGCATGCACCCACATGCTTGAACTAGAAATCTCATTTCAATATATTTTTTTTTACTCCATAATTTAGTAAAAATGTGTTATCTTCATTGTGCAAGGCTGTGTTCCATGTGTTATAAAAGATAGATGTCCCTGAATCCTGCCCTCTGATTCTCAGTTTGGTGAGACAGCATTAAGATGCATGCTTTCTACTTTATAGAACTGTGTTTGCATAATAATTGCAGCATTTAATTATAAAGAGATATAGCTGGGTGCCATGGTATACTCCTGTAATCCCAGCTACTTGAGAGGCTGAGGCAGGAGGATCACAAATTCAAGGCCAGCCTGTACAAATTAGCATAATAAAAATTTAAAAGATAGAGCACACCTGGGTTCAATCCTCAGTACTGGGAAAATTAAAAAATATCCATAAGGAAAAGCTATCTATTGAGAACAAAGAAAAGAGAGATTACTTTCAGTGTAGGGGGATTAGGAGTAGAATAGAGTATAGGAAGAGTTCAAAAGATTTTATATAGAAATTAATGGAAAGCTGAACCTTGAAGAATTATGAAATTTGGCCTTGCATTGGAAAGACTACTTAGGGCTAAAGCAACAATGTCAGGAAAACATGAAAGTCACAGTTTGGGGAGAAAAATGGTATTTTTCTGTTGCCTAAAGGAATCAGGGCTAGTTTATAGCACGTCTTAAAAATCAGACCAAAAATTTTAGACTTTACTACAGTACTGGAGAGCCATTGAGTGTTTTATTCATTCATTCATTCATTGATAGTATTGGAGATTGAACCTAGGAACTTAACACTGAACTATATCCCTATCCCTTTCTACTTTAAGACAGTGTCTTATTAAATTACTAAGTTGCTCAGGCTAGGTTTGAACTTATGATACTCCTTCCTCAACCTATCACAATACTGGAATTACAGATGTGTGCCTTGCCTATCCATGCTTGGATGATTGATTGGTTGATTGATTTTTTTTTTAAGTGAAGAAGAGTACAGCGTAGTAAGTCAAAATTGTGCTGCAAGTGTGCAGAAAATACCAAATAGGGTAGAATGAGCCTTGCTTTGAGTATGAGCAGAGAACATCATCAACTGGAAATTTGTGAAAAATGCAGAATTACAGGGCTAGCTGGGCATGATGGCACACACCTGTAATCCTAGCACTCAGGAGACTGAGTCAGGAGAATCACTACAGGTTTAAGGACAGCCTGAGGTACATAGTAAGCATAAGACCAGGCTGAACTATATAGTGAGACCATATCTCAAAAAAGCAAAAAATAACAACAGAAAATTATGGAGCTAAGGGTTAGCTCAGTGATAGAGCTTTTGCTTAGTCTACACAAGGCCCTAGGTTCCATTCCCAGTACTGCAAAAAAAGAGAGAGAGAAAGAAAGACAGACAGGATAGCAGAGTATTCCCTCTAGTCTCCAAAATCAGAATCTACATTTTAAAGAAATTCTTCAAGTGATTCTTGTATTAGCACATTTTAAAATGTGATCTGCTCTGAATTAGAGAAATAGAGAAACTTGGAAACTAATTACAGTCACCCATATTAAAAATTCACGTAAAAGATACAGAAGCATAGGAATACAAAAGATTTTTTTTCAGTTTTTGAGGTTGCATTTCTAGATGTTGGATATTATTTGGACAAGGGACTTACTCAAGGCAATGTAGTTTTTAGCCTCAGTGATTTGAGGTTAATAAGTAGGATTAAGTGTGCATTAGCATGTTCTCATTGGCTTGAACCACTCGTGACAGGACAGTCACACAGGTTGCCACTGCTGCCTGGCAGTGAGACAACTAATTACAGCCCCGTCAAGAATATATTTAAGAAATTATTAAGTTGGGTTTTTGTTGGGTTTTTTTTTTTTCTTTTGGTACCTGGGATTGAACTTGGGTCCTTGTGCTTGCAAGGCAGGCCACCAAACTGCTGAACTAAATCCCTGGCCCTTTTTTTTTTTTTAATGGTACTGGGGATCGAACTCGGGTCCTTGCATTTGCAAGGCAGGCGCTGGAACCACTGAGCTAAATCCCCGGTGTTGTCGTTTCTGAGACAAGGTCTCACTATACAGTTTAAACTGACCTTGAACTCGAGGCGATCCACGTACCTTAGTCTCCTAGTGCTGGGATTACGCACTTGAGTTGATTTTGATATGCCTTGCACATGTTGTAAATGTAAATCATTGTTTATTGAGCTGAAGCTAAATGGAGTTTGAGATACTGAGTATACATCCACATGAAGATTGTTGGTGGACTTAACATGGGACTACATTTTTGGAAGAACATTGGGTTTAATGACAGATTGAGAGTAATCTGCATTGAGTTGATGATTCAGGATAAAGGAAAAGTGAGCTCACAAAAAGAAGGTGTGTACTGTAGCAAAGGAAGGAGTGAAATTTTAAGGAACTTTTGCAATAAGGGCCTGGGAAAAGTTCAGGTGTTAGCTTTTGGTATTAAAACCATTTGTGATATATTGATGTGAATTAATGACAGATACAGTTTCTCTCCTATTTTCTCTTCCTTTCAAATGTTACAGAGCAAGGCTTTAGCCAAGATGGATATTTTGGTGAATGAGACAGAGGAACTGGCAGAGAATATACTCAAGTGGCGAGAACAACAAAAAGAAGTTTCTTCTCAGATCCCCCAAATGTTAAGATGAAGACAACGATCCTCATAAACATAACGTAGTTATGAAGTCCATTTCTGGTTGATGGTCATTCGGGTATGTAGGCTTCGCTGCTGCCTGTACTGAAAGAGCTCTGTTTTTATTGGAGTACCAAGATTCCAGGGTTCATTAGGACCAAATTGACTTTTCCTTTGTTTTTCACACATTCTTAATGTACTTTTCAGAAAGCTAATACAAATAAAATATAGATGATTGATTAATATTAATGAGTTAACCATTCCTCAGGAAGCTAATTCTTTTATTGTCTTTTTTTTTTTTAAGTCATCTTTCTGAATTGTCTTCTTGAATCTGAAAATGTCCATGGCAATTATTCCTATGGAATTGTCATGGTGTTCAGGGAAGAATAACACAGGAGGCCTATTCTTGCAAAGGCGTACTGACAAGGCTGGTCCTTGGCTGACCCTTCTGGGAGTTTAGCTGTCAGGAGGGCTCCCTCTACTCTCACTGACAAGAGTGGCTCAGTGTGACCCAGCTGTTTGTATAATATGGCTTATGCTGAACACTTGCTTTCTGTGTGGAAGTTGAGAATTTTGATACATGCCAGTAAAAAGGATCCTTGTGACTAGTCCTTAGTAAAACCCTGGGGTTGCATCTCTAGCGAATTTCCCTGATAGGTAATATTTCATGCATGTGGTCATGGTTCAGTTGCTGGAGGTGTGAGGCATAGCTTGGGAGTTCCACTGGCAATGGACCAGTACCTGGTTTTCCCCATACTTTGCCCCATGAACCTGTCCCCTTTGCTCTTTTGATGTGTGTGTGTGTGTGTGTGTGTGTGTGTGTGTGTGTGTGTGCATGTGCGCATGTGGAGCACCTGCTCTACCACTGTGCTATAGCCTGGCCCTTGCCTTGCGTGCTGTGCTGTACTAGACCTTGGTTATAAATATGGTGATGTGCTGAGGCCTATGAGTCCTCATAGCAAACCATGTTCTTGTACTCCCCAATGCACTGGTCAATTCCTGAGGGTGTTCACTTAGGAACAGGCAAAGAAGAAAAGGACAGCAAGGAAAAGAAACAACACGTTATAGTAAATTTGTTACTGTTTATCTTGTAAAACGCTCAGACATTTTGTGAGGACCAAGTTTCCAGGTCACGGTGGGTGCCATGCCCCTTACCCAGAATAGAGTAAATGCAAAAGTTCCTTTCTGAAAAATTCCATTCTATGTGGCAGTTTCTCTGTGCTTTGACAATTGCAGTTCCTCTTTTAGGGCATCTCCCCCCTGCTTCTGTTCCTCTTTTTAAGATGAGCTTTTTATGTAATTCAATGAATATAGGAATTAGTTATAGTTGATATAGAAATTAATCATAGTTAATAGAAAAGCTTCTTTTTGTATGATCTAATCAATATAGGAATTAATTATAATGGATATAGATAGTTATATATCTTAGCAAAAGTCAGAAAAGAGGAATTAATTCTTTGATGAAAAGAGGAATTAATTGTCTACTGAAAAGAGGAATTCTCTAATGAAGGCCTTAGGTAACTTTCCAATACATACCCTCCCAGCACCCCATGATAATTTTGCAAATGTAAGCATTAGGTCATGTTCCATTGTGCCCTCCAGATACCCCTTGATGATAAGGGAAAACTAAAAATAGCAACAGAAAAATCCTATATAAACTTGGTTTAAAGTTGGATCTGGGCTCTCAGTCTGAAGCCGCTGTGACGGTGACACCTGAGAGTCCAGGCTCGAGCTTGCAATAAACTCCTCTTGCAGTTGCATTGGACATGACTCCTTGTTGGTCTTTGGGGACTTTGCAACTTGGGCACAACAATTTCACCTGAATTACTGTTCATATGATAGTTCATAGAATCCTGGTCATGTGCTTACTAACAAAGATGTACTGATTCACGTCACAGCTATAACCACTCCTGGCTTGTTTTGTTTTCAGACTGTGGATTCTGTTTTGCTTCAAAATGTGTGCATTGTTATTTTTATGCTGTTGCATTTGCTGCATCACAGGGGTCCACTGTGCCTTGTTCATCACACTCCTTAGCAAGAAGATTTCACACAGTAGAGATGAGTAAAATATTCTCTCTTTTTTTTCTCATTGAGTTTATTGATACATTTTAGGTATACAGTACAGTTACATTCATCATTGGGATCTTGTACCTTTACGTGACAGGTCTTGGTTATGAGTAAAATGTTCTTTTTTTGGGGGAGTGGGGGGGTTTGAGACAGGATCTCACTATGTAGTTGAAACTGACCTGGAACTCATTATATAGCCCAGGGTGGTTTCGAATTCACAGCAATCCTCCTGCCTCAGCCTCCTGAGTGCTGGGATTACAGGTGTGCACCACACCTGGCTTGAGTAAATATTGTTAAGGAAGCAAGATCATTACCAAAAAATGCCTGCTAAAACAACAAGAATTACACTTTGAAGCCTTATCACTCACTTTTGCAAATGGGATCTAAAAGAGCAGTAGTAATGTCTTGAACATTATGTAGATCTTAGCAAAGGCCTTAGTTGTATTTCATCATAAGCCTGTTCATGCCCAGCTTTTTTCCTGAAGTGATTTCCTGTATATATGTATATGTGCATATATGGTATTATGTGTCATGTCACCTACCACAATGCAAATATTAATATGCCAGGTTTTGTATGTCTTTCTCAAAATATCAAGATAAACATGGAATTTTTAACTAAAACCTCTTGGCCCTAGTGTGAATCCTAAGTCATAGAAAGGGAAGATGCTGTTTAGTTTGTGCAGGTATAGGCATTCATGCTATCTGACTTCTAAAACCTTGGGGTATAACAAAGAACAAAATTAATACTATTCTAGGATCAGTAAGTGGTCATGAATTTTTTAAATTCAATTTTTTTTTTAAGATAGTCTCACTGTGTGGCTCAGACTGGCCTTGAACTCACAGTGATCCTCCTGCCTTAGCCTCCCAAGTGTTGGGACTACAGGAGTGAGCCACCACATTCAGCTTAAATTCAACCTTTATACATGTGGCTACCAGGAATAATTAGCTCTGGGAGGAGGATTAAAAAAAAAGAAACAAGCTGTATTATTATGTACATCTACCAAACTTCCCAAGAAGATTGTAAAATGTATGTACTACAAATATGTACTAATAAATTATTTTTAAAGAATAATTAGCTCTAGCCGGGCGTGTTGGTGCACACCTGTAATCCCAGCACTTGGGAGGCTGAAGCAGGACGATCGCTGAGAGTTTGAGACCAGCCTGGGCTACATAGTGAGTTCCAGGTCAGTCTCAACTACATAGTGAGACCCTGTCTAAAAAAAAAAAAAAAAAGAATAATTAGCTCTGGAATGCATTTTTTCTTTCACATTAGGTAGGAAAGGATTATGAAATTAGCAAATTTATTCTTGACACATAATGATGTCAATTTGTTAAGACTGTTCTGGAGGGATTAAGATGCTGCCTGTTTTTTCTTATTTTACTCCTTTCTTTGATCTGTGATTGCCAGATTAATGCCTGATTTTATCTTCTGAAACCTTCAATCAAGTCAGGAAGATAGTCTGAGAAATTGGATAATAAAAAATTTTTCTTGATTTATAAAATCAGTAATAGAGATGTTAATGACTTACTATTATTTGTGAGATTTTTCCATATGTCTATAAAACAAAATTAATTTATATAAAATATGAATTTCACAGTTTGAAGAATCCACTTTGATAATTGAGTTTATCAAAAAAATTTAGTAGAATTAGAAGTAAGCAGATCATATTATAAAGTCCTCTTAATTTGACATTTTCCTTTTTTCCCATTCCCACATTACATTTTCTCTTCTCCTTCTTGAAGTCTTCTCATGAGTGTTTGTAGGAAAAAATTATGGCATTATGATATGGTAAGCACAGAAGAGTCCTCTGGTCAATTTCTGAACCTTTTCTGGGACTCTTAATTTTGTAGACCTTTACTTGCTGTACAAGAATTTAGGTTTATAAAAATACGTGTCAAATATCTTTGTAATTGGTAAAATGAAAAGCCATGCATTTTCTAAAAATTGATGTGAAATTACATTTCAAGGAAACCGCAGAATTAATTTTTCTGCCTATACTCAGGCAGATAAAACAAAAGCCAGTGTGCCTCCGATGACAACATGGACTTAGTGATCACTGGACACTAGTAAAATTTTCTCTAATGTATTGTTTTTGAAGTTTTACTGTATGAGGGCATAAAAAGTTACCTTGATAAGTGAAAATTTTCTGAAAGGGAAAGTTTTCTGGAGGCTGTGGAAAGATAGGTGGGAACCTCTCTGAACTGAACTGCCTTTGCTCCCCCACCTCGCTGTAGTCTCACACTGCTTTCTCCCTCTCTACCTTCTCCATTTAGATCCCAAATTTCAGGAGACTCAGACAGGAGTTGTCTTCAGCTTCTCCTCTATGGAGATTTATAGCACACGCTTTAGAATTAGACTTGGGTTTGAATCTTGGTTCCACCACTTACCAGCTAAATGGTCTTTCTTTTTTGTTTGTTTGTTTTGTTTTTTGGTATTGGGAATCGAACCTTGCACTTGCAAAACAGGCAGTGGAACCACTAAGATAAATCCCCAGCCCTGGTCTTTCTGATTTATTTAATATCAGCCTCCACTTCCTTATTTCTTAAATGGAAATGATAAAAGTAAGAATTTCATAGAATACTTAATAATCAAATCCTAGCTTGTAATAAGTCAGTATAACCAAAGATGACCTCGATAACTTCTGCTTTCTTTCCTAAGCTGTTCCTTTTATTGTTTCAATCACTACATTCCTCATAATAATAATAATAATAATAATAATAATAATGATAGTAATAGTGAACTGAATATAATATGACAATTAAGACTTTTCTGAATCTCTTGAATTTTTACTATATTGGTCATGATAAGGTCATTCTAAGGAAAAAGACTGGCTTGGTTAAACACAAACAATGAAAGTTCATTTACAATAGGAATCTGGGGCTGAGAATGTACAACAGCTAAGAACTAGAGTACTTGTCTAAGCCCTAAGAACTGCCACCCCCTTCATGGCAAAGCAGCACCAGTAACAGTTCTGAATTTCCATTTCTTACCCACAAAGCTGGCAGAAACACTTTCGTTTGTTGAATAGGCTGTGGAGATGCAGACATACTTAGCCATGGTGATAAGAATGCATACGTATTTCTTAACGCAGCAATTGCAATTCTAGGAATCTATTGCAAAGATATACAGGTACAAATAAGCAAAGATGAGTACACAAAACTATTCATAGTAGAAATATTTATTATAGCAGAAGACTAAAAATAAATGTCCTGTCAATAAGAGACTGATTTATATAAACTATGGATATCCAATATGTAGAGTTCTATACAGTTGTAAGAATGCCCTTATTTCCACTTTTGGTTTCCCATACCAGAGAAACAATGCAGTATTTAATACAGTTGTAAGAACGAATAAGGAATATTTCTATATGTGTAATATACTATACAGTACAAAATGATAAATGTTGTATAGAATATATTCCTATATTTCTGTATACTGACCTGGGGTGGTCTCCAGAATTTACTGTAAAATTAAGGCCAAAAAGTTACTACTCATCTAAAAAAGAGGGGTGGGATTTGAGTTTCTGTGTGTGTACACATGCAACAAACTAAGAAATATGTGACAGCCCCCCACCAAGCTAGACCCCTGCCCAAGCAGGCCCGATAGCCACATCCACAGGAGCACAGAGATAACAAGAAGCCAGCAGCTGCCCTGCTGCTCTCACCACCACCCTGTGTATCATCCAGCCCCAGGCCCATCACCCATGGGACTCTAAAATTTTCTACCCTCTTGACCAGTCTCCCCTCCTTTACCTAAAATGCCACATATAACTACGAGCACTCTCCTTTCAGTGCCAATGGCCTTCTCACCCTTGGCCCATCTGCGCCCAGATGGTAGTAAACTCATTGCATGTTGCTTAGACTCTGCCTGACTCAGTGGTCTCAATCATGCCTTGGTCTGACCTCATTGCTAGCATGCCTGCAAGTTAAAGGAGGAAGGGTTTATTTTAGCTCACAGTCATAGAGGGTTTTTGTTTGTTTGTTTGTTTGTTTGTTTTTGTACCAGGGATGGGTCCTTACTCTTGCAAGGCAGGCTACCGAACCGCTGAGCTAAATCCCTGGCCCACAGTCATAGAGGTTTCCGTCCATAGTCA